CGTCGTCATCAACATCAGTATCACCACCATCATGATATTCTTCTTCGTACTATGCATCATCAACATCAAAAGTATCTTCACCGTCATCACCATCATCAGCATCATCACCACTAGTATCATCATGATCATGATACACATGATCAGCATGATCATCATAATCATCATCATCGTCAACAATATCTCCATCGTAATACACGTGATCGGTATCGTCGGCATCGTCGTCGTCGTCACCATCATCAGCAGCAGCACCACCATCACCATCTCCATAGCCATAGCCACCATCAGCAACATCACCATCATCATAAGCGTCAGCATCAGCTTCGTCGTCTTATTGCTGCTCTTATCATTAGTATTGTGTCTGATTCATCTTCGTCTGCATCGTCATCATCAACATCATCAGCATCACCACCATCACCGTCTGCTTCATCATTAGCATCATCATCATCATCATCATCATCATCATCATCATCATCATCATCATCATCGTTATCATCATCATTCTCACCATCACCATCATGATCAACATCACCACCATCATCCGCCACCAAGAACCACTCATCAATCATCAATCATACATCATGATATTCGTATTCGTCTTCGTCTTCATCAACATCTAAATCATCATCCGCCTCCTCATCATCATCACCACCACCATCATCATCACCATCATCATCATCGTCGTCGTCATCAGCATCATCATCAACATCATCATAATCATCAACATCATCAACATCATCAGACTCAGCATCGTCATGGTCATCATGATCATGATCATGATCATCAGCATGAGCATGAGCATGAGCATGAGCATGATCATCATCATGATCATGATCATGATCATGATCATGATCATCATCCTCATCCTCATCCTCATCATCATCACCCCCATGTTCGGGGGAGACCGAGAGTCGGCGGCTGCCCCCCCTCGGGAGAGCGGGATCATCATCACCCCCATTCCCTCATAGTCCTCATCATCCTTATAACGGCTCTCCCAAGCCTGGAGACACGAGGTGTCACATGTGACGTCTTCGCGTGCCCCATTGAACAATCGCCACTCGAATTGCTGGACTGGCACGGTGGCGGGGCTTGCCGCAAGCAACTGGATGATTGCTGCTGATCTATGGAAACGGTTTCCAACGCTCTCGCCTTGACGCTGGCCACGATCCCTGAACACGAAGCTCCCGCTCGAGCGCGGGCTTGGTTCCCAATCCCGGCCTGTGAAACTCCAACTACGACGACCACGGAACCCGCAAGATACTTCCTCACAACTCATTCCGAGACGCCCTGGCCAGAGAGGTCCCCTAACTCATGAACGGCGCTCTCGCCAGGGACGTCCTCGCCAGTCATTCCATGTCGTGTAAGCCCAGCTAGGACGACGGTAGATCTCAATCGGTACTGCCTTACAATTTTCTCTGAAACTCTTTGGAGGCCCCCAAACTCAGGAACGGCGCTCTCTACCGAGACTTCCTCACAATTCACTCAAGTTGGTGAGTTGCCCGCGGGCGTGTTACCTCACATGACGGCCAGGTTGGCGCGGTGCGCACACAGAGTGTACTGCTGAATGCTTCTCCCCGACGCTGGTATGCCAAAACAAGCCCACTAAGAAGGGCGGCGTTTGTACATAGACTCAGTGGGCTGGTACTCGCTGGAGGGAGAAGCAACTGAAGGTACAAACAACTTGTTAGATCACATGTTCGCAAGGTGGTCGTCGTCGTTGTCGTAGCAATCGTCGTCACCCTCGCGGAATCTCTGCTGGATGGATTGCGCACTCTTTTGATGTCCCGCACGACCCGGTCGGTCCGCCCGTTCGGGTCCGCCCGCGTGACCCGCCCGTCAGAGTCCGCCCGCCCGACCCGCCCGTCGGGGTTCGCCCGCCAGAACCGCCCCTTATGGCCCGCCCGCCCATCAAGGCTGACATCAACACGATGAATTGTCTGGTGAGTACTGGTTTGACGTGGCTGTGATAGCATTGACAGAACACCTGGCAATGGCATACTGATACTGGAAGCATGATGCAACATTCTTCCCCACGACAGACGAGACGACAACGTTCTGGCAACAAACGAACACTGCGATGACATCGGATATACAAGCCAAAACAAAATCAATGAAGCGCGAAGACTTCAACATCCCGCATGTGCGTTGGGAATGTATCCAACGCCGCAACGATGTCGCAAATGTGTCAAGTCCGTGAGGCATGGATGCGAACATTGAGGGAGCATGAGAAAATAATGTTGGTGCCTTGTGTCTCTTCGACAGCACCGGGAAACCCTGCCCTCGGCTCAGTGCCCGGCTTCCCTGACTGACCGGACCATCAACGATGAAAGTCAAATACTGATCGTTGCTAGTCAGCAGCGTGATTCCTGAAGCCTTGCCTTGGACAACAACACTAGTCACACAAATGCCTATTCTAATCTGATCATGCTCTGTCGCCTGTCGCTGCACCCTTGTCTTTCTAAATTCAGACACATACAGCCATCAGGACGCCGTATGCCTGCTGTGATGCAGTGCTGCTGCTTCCTTGTTTGACGCATTTCCCCAGGACTTGATTCATATGTTGCTGTGGGCGTGAAGCGCAGAAGCTCCCCAAGATACAGGGGCTCCGTACATGCTCCCCAGAGGGATGAGCACCTTTGGGAACTCTCTGAAACCTGCGTGCATCGTCCTTATGGACTTCCAATCCCACTAGCACTCTGGGCGTCGGTGGTTTAGCGGCGGAGTATCTCTTCCAATCCTCTGGGAGGGGCTTACCGTCACAATCCCCCCTCCCTTGGGGTCTAGACGGGGGGTCGTCCCGAGCGGCCAGCGAGTCCAAACTGGTCCAAGTTGGCTCCAAAGGTGGCCCCCCAGATAGTCCAAGATGGCCTCCAAGATGTCGCAAGATGGTCCAAGGCTATGCAAAATGGCCTCCAACATGCCTCCACGAGACACCAAAAACCCCACACAACCGCCCGACCCATATTACTCAATCTCTGAAACTGTTCCATGACGACTGTCTTCTCGCCGTGTCGCTTGCAACTGGCTTCAAGAAGGCTCGTGATACCAACAAGAGGTTCCCAAAGAGCCCCACGACGGCCCCAAGAGCCCAACGAAGTGGAGTGTTCTCCAGACTTCTTAGAGTTATCTATCACATTCTCTGTACTCAAGATTGGCTAATTATGAGCAGAGTAGGGCAATGTGTGTTTGAAGCACTTTTGCGATATCGCCTTTCTGCCCTTCGACACTCAAAGACGGCCCAAGAGGCCCCCAAGATCACCCCAAGACGGCCCAAGAGGCCCCCGATAGCGCCCCCAGACGGCCCACGAGGCCCCCCAAATAGTCCAATAGAGCTCCAAGAGGGGCCCAAGAGAGGCCCCAGATGGAGAACGCGAACCGACATGTCGATCCATTCGCCCCAAGATGGCCCCCGAGACCGCGAGCAGGCCGCCCAAAAAGGTCCCTCGCACGCTTCAGGAGGCCCCCAAGAGGCCCAGATCAGGCCCCCGGAGGCCCAAATCAGAATCAGACCCCAAAAGGTCCCCAAGAGACCCCCGAGAGGCCACCACGACACCCCAAAACGAAGCCGAGAGGCTTCCGAGTCCTCCTAAGAGATCCCCAAATGTATCCCAAAGGCCTCTGACCTACAGCCCCGAGAGAGTCGCAAGAAGCCTTCAAGAAACCATTGCTTGGGCTGCAAGGGGCCGAGAATTGTTTGATCGATGGTCTCCAGGATGGTTTCAAGAGGAACCCAAGAGAGCCTCTCAGCACCGCAAGGGCTTTCAAAAGGGCCAAAGGGGAGTCCCAGGATGGCTCCAAGGGGCCTGCAAAACATTCCCTGAGGCCCCTAAGTCGATCATGATTGGGTGCTGCTAGTGTTGATCCCAGCTTCGGTTTGACCAGTGCCCCCCTCTTTGTTTCACTAGAGTTCCTCTACTAGATGACTCCAAAAAGGGGTCCGAATAGATGGGATAAGAGGATCGCGACGCATCGCCGATGCGAAAGGATCCTGCCCATCTGCTCGGACCACGTGTAGGAAGCTTAGATATACGACTCTTCTACGGCAACTCGCCTGGGAATCGTTTCTGGATGTGCTCGGCTGGAGGGGAGAATCACGCGAAGCGTCTAAACTGATGATCCCACGGCAGGATCGCGCAATGTGCTCTGTTCAATCATCGCTTCCTCTATTGCATCTTTGGGGGACCTCGTCTCTCCATCGTGCCAACCATCCGCGTCGCCTCCGTGTCCAATCCATGTCGAACGCGCCGAATCCGTGGTGACTCAACGTCTAATTCACGTCGATTCCGAGTCAAACCCACCCACGCTGGAGTACAGGAAAAGACTGCCACTTACAGAACAGGAAAGGTCTCCCGAAGATACAAAAGAACACTCCCACTGGAATCCTGCTTGTTTGTGAGGAAAACGTCGGCCGGGATCATGACCGCACGGACCGGTTCTGCAAGCCACCTCCGATGGACGAGCACAGAAGGAGAACAAGCGCAACATCCATGGTCTCTCGGCCATCCTGGGGGCCAGCGGGCCAAGGCGGGCAAAGAAAAGCCCAGAAGGAGGAGTATGACCGACTCATAAAAAGGGTCGGCATGAGGCCAACCCTGTTGATGCTGATTACATCTTCGCATGGTTGATCGACATTATCATGTGCTTTAGGATGGCCAACCAACCAAGGCTCCAAATGATGAAGACAGCATGCAATTGCCCAAGAGTAGCATTGTACGATACCATTCCTTCCTGCAACTGAGCTGCTACCTGCCAGCTCACATGTATCATCAAATGCTTCAAATCTGCGGACACTGTCGGCGTGTGTCAAGGGAGGGTCCTGTGTCAGTAGTCCCAGGGAGGTTCCCGGAGACACTGTTCCATTAGAAGCTTTAGTCCCCTGGACTCCTGGGGCTCCTCGAGCTCACAAAACCGAGGTGAAACGGCCCAGGCTGTAATCGAGTCGAAAGGAGGGCACTTCCCCTTGACCCCTTCCCCGCCAGGAGTGAGCCACCGTCGTCCCCTTTCCTGGAATGTCTCGGGCGACTCTTTCTCGACGCAGACGATGGCGTGAAAACTCGCCCATAGTCCCCACAGAGATGGCCGGCCCAACCTGCGGAGCCGCCGATGACAATGGCCGCTGCTGGGGCCAGCCCTCGAAATTATGGATACGAGCTCCCTCTCGCGAGGGCTGCTGCTCCGACTGAAGCCGCCTCTGGGCCCCCGTCGCTCCGCGTTCCTGCCACAATGGACGACCGCTGCACACATGCTTCTGGGGGGATGCTCACGCTCGCCCAGCAGACCACCGACTACAAATCCCGCCCCACATGCTTCACGTACAAGGGCAACTAAAGCAAGCCACTGTCCGGACGGCCGTGGACGACTTTCAGCTCGACCTTACCAAAAGCAACCCATCCTGGAGCCTTGGACTCACGTGCAAGACGCTGTAATGATACCCTCCCGCTAGACCTCGTCGCGCTGATCCGCTGGAAGTACATGTCTGCGCAGTGTCCACTCGATCGGCGCGCATCGGCCTGCACGCGAACCTGTCGCGAGGGATGTTTATCATAACATGCTCGCCCGCCTTACGGCGGAAACCCCAGAGTCGGCGCCGCCCGCACCTGGGCATCGGGCCTGGCGCGGCCGCTGGCGTGCCGGTCAACGCGACGCAGCTGTCGTCGCACGACGTCGTGGTGGACCAGTGGTACCCCATCCCTGGCGTGATGGTCGGGGGCGAGATCGACTCGACGGGCTGGTAGCTGGCGCCTCTGGGCTCCAACAGCATGGCGTCGCCGCGGTACCATGTGGGTTGCATACGCATCCTCAGCGACACGCTCCCTACGGCTGTGCAGGACGGCGACGTCAGCACTATCTCGGACATGCTACCACCGAGATGGCCGGCGTAAGTGGTCTGGTGGTAGGTGTCCAGGTCCCCGTCGTTCACAAAATGGGGCTGGCCCTACGAATTGCCATCCGTGGGAGGCACGTCCACGCCTCCTTGTAGCGCCACGTTCACGCCGCCCGAACACACCTCGATCTCGGCAGCATTGACGACCGTGTCGCCAGCCTGGCGCGTGAGCTTGACGTACCTCGCCGCGCTGGAGAGCGTTGCCGCTGGAGCTGGTGTCGGAGCCGGCGTCGGAACTGCCGTTGGAGCTGGCGTCGGAAAAGGCGTCGAAGCAGACGTTGGGGTTGCCTGGCTGGCTGCCTGCCCGTAGAGTTCTGGTCGGCAGAACCTGCTGTCAGAAGACCCGTGGTTTCTGACCACGATGGAAACCACCGCCTCCGCAAGTTCACATAAACATCCAGGATGGGCGGAATTCCGCATTTGCGGGGCAGCGTTTTCCACTTGCGCTCATGGCCAATTCGGCACTGCGCGCAGCTCAAGCAATTGCGTGCGCCCAGTACTTCACAACTGACCCTAGCAAAGCACCCTGATAGAAGCAAAGGTGACATGAGAGACCTGTAGAAACTGCAGGACATGTGGGACCATCGAGGCCTGCTAGACCAGTTGAAGCTGTGAAAACTGTGGGACCTGTGCGACATGCGGGACCTGTGGGACATGTGGGACCTGCGGGACATGCAGGACTTACGAGACCCGCAAGCCCTCCGGGGCCTGTAGGACCTCTGGGACTTGTCGGGCCTCCGGGACCAACGAGCCCTGTTGGAGCTGTGGGACTTGTGGGACCTCGACTTATAGGACCTGCGGGACCCAAGAGACCTGCGAGACCTGTGGGATTTGTGGGGTCTGTGGTGAATGCGGGACCTGTGGAGCCTGTGGGACATGAGAAAGCTGTGAGACTTGTGGGGCCTGTGGGGCCTATGGGGCCTGTGGGACCTGTGCGACCTGCAAGACTTGCGAGACCCGTGGGACTTGTGGGACCCGTCGGACCTGTGGGACCTGTGGGAACTGTGTGGCCCGTGAGACCTGTGGGACCTGTGAGACCTGTGGGACCTGTGGGACCTGGGGGACCCGCTGGGCCTGTGGGACCTTTGGGACCTGGGGAATGTGTTGGACATGTGTGTGCTGTGGAATCAGTGGTGCCTGTGTGAATTGCGGGGCCTGCGGGACTTCTTGGAACTGTGGGACCTGTGGGGCATGTGAGTCCTGTGAGACCTGAGGGGCCTGCAAGATCAACGAGACCTGCGAGACCTGCGGGGCATGTGGGACCTGTGGGCGTTGTGGGAACGGTCGGACATGTAGAACCTGTGGGACTTTTAGGATTCATGGGACATGAGAGAACTATGGGAATCGTTGGGCCAATGGGACAGGTGGGGTCTGCGAGACCTGCCAGACCTGCGAAGCCTGCGGCGCCTTGAACATTTGTTGGACCTGCGGGACCTGTCGGATATGTGGGATATGTGGGACATGCGGGACTTGTGAGACTTGCGACAGCTGTGGGACGTGGGGGACTTGTGGGACCCGTGGACCTGCGGGAACTGTGGGATCAATGAGACCTGCGAGACCGGAGAGACCTGGCCCGGCACAGAAACGGAAAGAGCGCTGCAGCAACAAAAACCGAAATGACTCACACCACCGTTCGTATCGGGAGCCTTTGCGTTGAGGGCTGGTTACGTCACCCCTCGCTCTTGGGAGCCTTGGTGTTCAGAGATGGTTGCGTTGCCGCCCGTTCCTGAGCCTTGGCTGGGCCTTGGTGTCAGGAACTTGTTACGTCACCGCTCTCTGCTGGGAGCCTTGGTCTTATCAGCTTGTGTACGTCACCGTTCGCTCTTGGGAGCCTTGGTGTGAAGAGCTTTTTGCATTACCGATCGCTCTTGGCGTCTCTGGACCTTCGTGGGAGTCCTATTGGGGGCCTCTTGGGGCTTCTTGGGGGTCTGTGGGGGCCTCCTAAGGCTAGACTTTCGGGTTCGTGGTCCCCCTCTTAGGGCCGTCTTAGGGCCCTCTTTGGCCGTCTTGGGCGCCTCTTGGGCCGTCTTGGCGCCCTCTTGGGCCTTTTTGGGGGCCTCTTGGGAGCCTCTTGGGCCGTCTTGGGGCGGTCTTGGGGGCCGCTTGGAGCGTCTTCAGCGCCGTCAAAGGTAAAAAGCCGTGTATGCTAAAAAAGTACATTTTCCGATCGGACATCGATAATGTTGGCCTCCTGTTGGCCTCGTGGGACGCCTCTTGGGGGCCTCTTGGGGCTTCTTGGGGGGCTGGGGGGGGGCCTCCTGGGAGCGTCTTGGGGCGGTAGGCTCGACTTTTCGGTTCGTGGTCCCCCTCTAGGGGCCGTCTTGGGGCCCTCTTGGGCCGTCTAGGGCGCCTCTTGGGCCGTCTGGGGGCCATCTTGGGCCGTTTTGGGGGCCTCTTGGGAGCCTCTTGGGCCGTCTTGGGGCGGTCTTGGGGGCCTCTTGGGCCGTCGTCTACGCCGTGGAAGGCGAAAAGCCGTATACGCTAAAAATGTACGTTTTCCTTTGGGAAATCGATGATGTTGGCCTCTTGGAGCCCTCTTGGGACGCACCTTGGGCGCCTCTTGGGGGCCTCTTGGGCCGTCTTGGGCGGTCTTGGGCTCTCTTGGAGCGCTCTTGGGCTGTTTTGAATGAGAACTTCGACCGTCTGGAGAGAGAATCCGAGAAACATGCAAAAACCCTAGGGAAAATCCCCTAAACGGCCATTACACCGCAAACGCTCGCGCTACCCCCCCTGGAACCCCTCCTTAAGGGGCTTCGCCCAACACACAACGGCATCGCTCGTACCTCGCTCTTTCCGTTACCTGCGAGACTTGTGGGACCTGTGACACCTGTGGGACCTGCGGGGACTGTTAGACCTGCGCGACCTGCGAGATCTGCGAGGCCTGTGGGCCTCGTGGGAACTGTGGGACCTGTGGGACCTGTGGAATCTTTGAACCCAGTTGGACCTGCGACCGCCGAGGACCAAAATAAGGCCCTGAATTGTGGGACCGGCGGACACGAAAAAATAAGGACCTTACTCGGGACCCGGGGAACTCCTTATTAAATTTCGTGGATCGACAGGTGTCTCGTGATTTGGAACCATCGAGGCCCCCAGGGGGGATTTATTAAGGAACCCGAAGGTTCCCTATGTCCACCATGTTTTCTTGGGGCGGGGGGACCCAACATTCAAACGTCCCAATGTGGCCGCCGGAGGCCCTCAACTAGCCAACCCGCTTGGAAACGCGACGCAACTGTTCTGCCGAGACCTGAAGGCGACTCTGATGCCGTCACCGCCGTACCTGCAGTGCATCCGCCAATCCGCAGGCAAACCCAAGGAATCGCCATAGAGGCGGGCACGGCCCCAGACGGCACCATCAGACCCCCCGGGGAGCTTACGGCGGCCCACGACGGCCCCGAAATGTCCCACAGAGCCCCAAAACGGCCCAAGAGTGCCCCAAGAGGCCCCCAAAACAACCCAACAGGACCCTGTGACAAGCCCAATGCGGCCCGAGAGTAACCCGTGAGAGGGGGCACGGATGAGGGAGGGCAGAGGAGGGGACGGAAGAGGGGACAGGACCCCGTGACAACCCAATGCGGGGGGACAGAGCAGGGGGGGACGACAACGAAAACGAAGGAGTACGCCCCGAAACGACGCGGATGAGCGTGTCACGTGTTGCGGCCATTGCACGGGTGTGGGCGACGATCTGTCGCGCGGGGCTCTAAAACTCGCCGCGCCGAAACATGCGCAATCGCAGTGTTCGGGACTTGCCGCGAACGAATCGGCATAACGCAAGCGCCCGCTTCTCTAAGCGCTACCGCAGTGGATATGATCTGTCAACGAAGTCGCGCCCTCCACGAGCCGAACGGGCCCTCCATTTTGAGATGCGCGCAGTCAGAAAACAAAATTACCCTGTGACGTGCTCAACCCTGTCTATACATGTGGCGATTATACGATTATACTCAGCACAACTCAATGCTGACTGGCATTATGAAGGACTCGCAGTGCGCAAGAAGAGCATACAGCAGAGATGTCAAAAGAGCGCAGCAAGAGGAGGAGCGGCAAATATACAAAATGGAAACACATGGGCGTTGAGAGAAATGCAACCAAAGAGTGAACACAAAAGGGCGCGGCGGCGAGGGCAAAAACACCACGAAAACCTCCGCTGGGCCTCCCAAGCCCCACGAAAGTGGCGACAATTGCGCAGATCGCAAGCCCCCCAGGGGGCGGCGAGATACCGAGGTGGTCAGCGTGGGACCCACCTCCGCTGGGCCTCCCAGGAGCCCACGAAAGTGGCGACAGTTGCGCAGATCGCAAGTCCCCCAGGGGGCGGCGAGGTACCGAGGTGGTCCGCGTGAGACCCACCTCCGCTGGGCCTCCCAGAAGCCCACGAAAGTGGCGGCAGTTGCGCAGATCGCAAGCCCCCCAAAGAGCGGCGAGGTACCGAGGTGATCCGCGTGGGACCCACCTCCGTTGGGCTTCGCTGGGCTTCCCAGGAGCCCACGAAAGTGGCGACAGTTGCGCAGATCGCAGCCCGACGGCACGAAAGAAAAAGAGAAGGGAGCACCAGAAACAGGATAGGAGGAGGGGAGGAGAGGGGCGGAGAAGGAAGGAGGAAGGACGGGGCGACCACACTGCTCTATGCAAAACGAGTACCCAATACATGAGGGCTGGGAAAAAACCTGTGACGTACCCAACCATTTCTATACATGTGGCGATTATACTCAGGACCACTCAATGCTGACTGACATTCTGAAGGACCCGCAATGCGCAGAAAGAGCACCCAGCAATGCTTTCATAAGAGCGCAGCAAAAAGTCCCGTGTTGATCCGCGTATGACGTACCTCCGCTGGGTCTCCCAGGAGCCCACGAAAATGGCGACACAGGCGCAGATCGCAGCCCCCAGGGGGCGGCGAGGTACCGTGGTGATCCGCGTGGGACCTACCTCCGCTGCGCCTCCCAGGAGCCAACGAAAGTGGCGACAATTGCGCAGATCGCAGCCCCCCAGGGGGCGGCGAGGTCCCGTGGTGATCCGCGTATGACGTACCTCCGCTAAGCCTCCCAGGAACCCACGAAAAAGGCGACAACTGCGCAGATCACAGCCCCCCAGGGGCGGCGAGGTCCCGTGGTGATCCGCGTATGGCGTACCTTCGCTGGGCCTCCCAGGAAACAACGAAAATGGCGGCAATTGCGCGGATCGCAAGGCTCCCCAGGGGGCGGCGAGGTTCCGAGGTGATCCGCGTGGGACTCACCTCCGCTGGGCCTCCCAAAAGCCCACGCAAGTGGCGACAATTGCGCAGATCGCAAGGCCCCCAAAGGCGCGGCGAGGTACCGAAGTGATCCGCGTGGGACC